TGCTAGGAGATGACTGCCAGCTGAATGCAATGGTTAAAAGCCAGGTAAGGTTTTGTCTTACCCTTTCTGTGTCATATAATTTTATTTCTTAGTCACTGGTGCATGTATCCGCAACATAAGCTTCTGTGCTAAAATGCTTATACTATTTTTTAATTTGAATTTGTGAAGGCTACGTCTTGACTTTAACTCCGTTTCTGTTGACCTGTTTTTATACTATTATTAATTCTGTATTTCATTGTTTACCTCTAGATATGCAAAGAAGCTGGATTCGGAACAAGTCTTTTTGAGAGATTGGTTATGCTGAATTTCGAAAAGCATTTGCTGAATATACAGTACCGAATGGATACTTGTATCAGCTCATTTCCAATTGCTCAGTTTTATGAGAGGAAGATTTTAGATGGTCCAAATGTCTTGTCTCCTTCCTATAAAAAGGATTACACAAGCCTCCCTTTTGGCAGCTACACTTTTATAAATGTCACTGATGGAAGGGAAGACAAAGATGGCACTGAAAACAGTTGGAGAAACATGGCTGAAGTTGCTGTTGTTTTGTATCTTATCGAAAACATCTTCAAATGTATGTCTATGCTGAACCTATCCTTCCTTTAACTGTATCATCCTGCCTTGAGCACTCTGCTAGTTCATAATCTAATTTTCTATATGAAATTAAGTGGCTGATAGACATGGACTTAGATAGTGGAAGTAGATACTGTCAAGTCAATTTTTGGCTTATACAGAACCAATTTAAGCTTGCTTTAGAAATTTCCTCACTAGTTTAGCGAAAACATTGATTCCTAAAGATCAGTAACATACCAGCTTATTCTTTTGTGTAGCCTGGAAAGGGTCAGGCCAAGGGATCAGTGTCGGTGTGGTCTCTCCATATAGCTGTCAAGTTGGTGTAATTAAAGATAGACTCGGCGACAAATACGATACATGTGATGGATTTCATGTGAGGGTCAAGTCCATTGATGGTTTCCAAGGCGAAGAGGATGATATAATCATACTATCAACTGTCAGGTCCAATGAGAGAGGAGGTCTTGGATTTCTTGCTGATAACCGAAGAACAAATGTTGCTCTTACTAGAGCAAGGTGCACACCAATTCTTTGGTTTGTTATTGTTTATTGTATGTATTACTAGTATATATAAACCAGGTGGTTGCTTTATTTGATGTAGGCACTGCCTTTGGATTGTTGGGAATGCTACTACATTATATAAAAGTGGGACTGTCTGGAAAAACCTTGTTGATGATGCGAGAGGCCGTAACTGCATTATTAATGCCAATAATGACGCAACCATGTGCAAATTGATGTTGCACGTAAAGCAAGAATTTGATGAACTTGACGACCTTCTCAATGCTGATTCAGCAATTTTCAGCAATACTAGATGGAAGGTAAGCACAAAAGTGATGCTTAGTGAGTTTAACTTAAACCATGTTTTCACAAGTTCCTTTTATTGGTTCTGTTATTTATGTGCACTGCACTTAATTTCCTGAAATTCAAATTACATATATGATGTTTATATATCTGGTGAGTTAACGTTTATTGTCAGGGACTTTAGTGTTGATTTTTTTAGGGAGTGACTTCAGTGTTGAATTGATATATTGTGGAGTTTGTGCTTTTCGTGTGTGGTCATGAACTACCTAGATATGTCGCACACTTTCCGGGATCATGTATATGGTTTATTTTAATTTGCTAGGCTGTTTATTCTGTATTGGGTATTGAGAGGTTTGTGCTCAAGATTTTGCAGTGTGCTTTGTCAATTATGTGGTTCCTTTACAGTTACACCATAACATGTGCTATTTTGTGCAATGCTATGTCACACTATTCTGATTTTGTATATACCTGAATAAAGCGTACTTGTAGTTCTTCAACTGTTGCCAGATTGTACCTCCAGTCCCTTCAACTATGTTTGCTGCAGTTTTTGTCCCTAAGTAAGTGGTTTTAGCCAAGTAATATGTCACATCAACAACTTTTGCCATGGCATGTTGACCTGGCTGGAGTGACAGACCTGACCGTGCCGCCCAAGCACCAGATAGTTTGGCCCTGCGTCAGCACAAAACCAGATTGTGTGGTGCCACATAAGCACAAAACCAGATTCTGTGGGTGTTGTTTCTGTTATGGAAGTTCCTTATTTTACTTTGTACACTTGTCATGAGCTAAGGGATAGGGTAATCATGGGTGATGTGTGGTCGAGGCATTGTAAAAATCCAAGGGAGCGCGGCCTCGATGACGTTGTAATCATGAGTCATGTGTGGTCGAGGCAGTGTAAGGTTGTAAAATGCCCACCATGGCCTAGGCATTTTACAACCTTACACTGCCTCGACCACACATGACTCATGATTACAACATAAAGCTGAGATGAAATGCCTTTTTCCATATATAAAAAAGAGAGCCAAATATCATGTGCCAAGTTCCATTATATGGGGGTGGAGATAATAAAATCAGGGCCTCTTTGATTCAAAGGATTTTCATAGGAATTTTGGAGGATTGTATTCATATTGAATTTTTGCTATGTGTGTTTTATTTAATTATTGGATACTAGGATTACAATCTGCAGGCATTTTCCCTAGGGTTTCTTTTGCACTACATTTCATTGGAAAGTGTCCATCCCTATGGTGCACAAACATTCTTTGAATCATTTTCTCGTGATTCTATCTTGTTGGAATCAACAAGGCATGACACTCAAATTCTTCCTGTTCCTGTGTTCTTAAATTTCTCTGAATCAAAGATGCCTTAATTCCAATCTTATCTTAACAGAGTAACTACCTTGTGTCTTTGGAAACAAGTGAACTAACTCGAGAAGAAAGTGAATTTGGATAACTTGGCATACTTGCAAGTCTTAGCTGAAGATGTCCCCTCCTCCCATGGCTTGCTGCTATGTTAGGAATGATGGCCCCACATGATAAAGCTAGGCTTAAATTCATATACAGTACATACCATCTGGTGAATTACCTACTTATTAAAAGAATCTTTTGATTTTTCTTGAATGCATGTCTACTCAAGTTCTGTGTTATGTATTTCCCCAATTTGACAGGTTGTTCTTAGCGACGGATTTAGAAAATCTTTCATCAGACTAAAATCACCGCAGCTCAAGAGGGAAGTACTGCAGAAACTTGTTAAACTTGGTGGTGGTTGGAGGACAACATTTAAGAACATTGATATATGTGATACTTTCCAGCTTGCAAAAGTATACAAAGTCAGGGATTTTTATCTTATTTGGAATATTGACATGGAGAAAAAAGAAAGAAGGCTTTTCCAGATAATAAGAATTTGGGACCTACTACCCCACAAGCATGTTGCAAGAACTGTTCAACGTCTCGAAAACATGTTTTCCATGTACACAGATGATTACCTGGATCACTGCCGAAGAGTGCAGACAGATGGGTATGTTTTGTTTATTCTTTCTTGGTCCTTCCAAGTAGTAGCGTAAGATCTTTTTTATTTTTATTCTAACTTTTGGTCCTTCCAAATGAACTGCTAGTAAAAATATTCATGCTTGCAGATGATCAAAATGTTGATATTCTTCTTATTTCTCACATCCATTTTTTTTTGTGGATAACAGGAAACTGGAAGTTCCTGCGATTTGGGATGTTGAGCATAATATTATTAGCTATAAGGACTGCACAGTTGATGCCCAGGAAGATCATGATCGCATGGATACATCATGTCTTCTGGAGAATTTGGAAGTTAGTGAAAGCTTCTTGCTGATGAAATTCTACTCTTTATCATCTGGAGTGGCAAAACATTTGCTGACAGCTACTGATGGGTCTGAAATTGATATTCCCTTTGAACTGACTGACGAAGAGGGCGTGATAATCCGATTCCCTCGGACTAGTTTCATACTTGGGAGGTCAGGAACTGGGAAAACCACCGTATTGACAATGAAACTACTTCAAATAGAGCAAATGTCATTGACTGCATCCCGAGGGCTTAATTTGGACGAAGTTGGTTTACTTGGGGCTTGTGAAAAAAATATTATCACACTGAATGACACAAAGGAAGAAAGTTTTGTAAAACAAGTCTTCATCACTGTAAGCCCAAAGTTATGTTCGGCTGTAAAGAATCAAATTTGCAGACTTAAAAGGTAAATCCGTTGGATCTGGAGCTCCATGTGACTGTTTTTACATGCGTTTCTAGTTCGGAAAATTATTTTCATTTATCCATTTGAAAGTGGAGCAAAGAAATGTGCTCTTTTTTGTACCAGTAGAAATGTGCTCTTTCACCACTCTTTGAATGCTCCTTTGTCTTGTTGTCAAAAAATGCCCCTTTCCCATGTTCTTTCAAAAGGTTTAATGTATTTTATCTACTTGCAATGCATCTTTTTGGAACTATACACTGCAAGCTAGTTCTTTGTCACTGTTCTTCTCATATTAATTTCAAGTTACATTACCCTTTACAGATTTGTCTCTGGTGATGCCCCTGACCAGCCTAGCACCGATATGCATGACATCATTGATGATATGGAACAATCTACAGAAATTCCAGACAATTTTTGTGATCTACCTTGTGAGCACTATCCCCTTGCTATAACATATCGCAAGTTCTTGATGATGCTTGATGGAACATGCCAGACATCATTTTTTGATATTTTTTATGGTGAACTGAGGTCTAGCACTGAGAGGGGCTATTCAAAATCCCTTGCATTGCAAACTTTGATTGAACTGAAGGAAGTTACTTATGAGAAATTTTCTGCTTCCTACTGGCCTCATTTTAATGCAGACCTGACCAAGAAACTTGATGCGTCCACTGTCTTTACTGAGATAATTTCTCATATAAAAGGCGGATATCAAGCAAGCAGGCCTAGTAGAGGAAAACTTGAAAGATCAGATTATGTGATGCTCTCAGATAAAAGATTCTCATCCTTGAACAGTGAGAAGAGAGATAGGATTTATGATATTTTCCTTGATTATGAGAGCATGAAGTGCACTGCCAGAGAATTTGATTTGTCTGATGTTGTGAATAGCCTTCACAAAAGTCTAGTTTCAGAGGGCTACAATGGAGACATGGTGGATTTTGTTTACGTGGATGAGGTGCAGGATCTAACCATGACACAAATAGCACTTCTTAAATATGTCTGCAGGAATTTCGAGGAGGGCTTCCATTTTGCCGGTGATACTGCGCAGACTATAACAAGGGGGGTTGATTTCAGATTTCAAGATATTCGCTCACTTTTTTATACCACATTCCTCTCAGAAACTGAAGCATGTAATCAAGGAAATAAACATGGAAAACAATGCCATCTCTCTGATATGTTTCAACTTACTCAAAATTTTCGCACACATTCTGGGATTCTTCATATGGCCCAAAGTATCATTGACCTTTTGTACTTCTTTTTCCCATCAAGTGTTGACAAGCTTAATCCAGAGACTGGACTTGTATATGGAGAACCTCCTGTGCTGCTGGAGACTGGTAAGGATAAAAATGCAATTGTGAATATATTTGGAGAAAACAAAAGTAAAGATGGTAACCTGCATGGGTTTGGTGCTGAGCAAGTCATATTGGTTCGTGATGATGCTACCAAAAAACAAATTGTTGATCTTGTTGGTAAACAGGCCCTTGTTTTGACTATTGTTGAATGTAAAGGTCTTGAATTCCAGGTATGGCCTACCCGCTCACTCCATTTGTGTTCATTTTGCAAATTCTTTTATCTGCAGAATGGGTTGTTTCAACACTTCTTTTGGAAAAATATTGTGTAGGATGTGCTGTTGTACAATATTTTCACTTCATCGCCTTTAAGAAACAAATGGAGAGTTGTCTATGGCTATATGAAAAACAAAAATATTTTATCATCACCTGAGGAGATCTCTCATCCGGAATTCGACAGAAACAAGCACTGTCTTCTCTGTTCAGAGCTGAAGCAACTTTATGTTGCCATCACACGAACTAGGCAAAGATTGTGGATATGTGAAACTGCAGATGATTACTGTCGGCCAATGTTTGACTTCTGGAACAAGTTGTGTCTTGTAGAAGTAAGATTACTTGATTCTTCCTTCATTGAAGCAATGAAGACAGGAAGCAGCACTGATGATTGGAGGCGGCGGGGCACCAAGGTTAGTGCTATACACTTTTTTGGTGTGGGAATCTAGTTCATTGCGCTATGCATTATGTTGTTGAAATATACTGCACGCAGTCAAGCTTACGCTTTTGGGTGAACTGGTTGGCGCATGCAATTCAATATGGTATTAGGGCCAACAGGTGTTGAATTCAAAGATCATTTCCCCATCAGCTTAGGCTTTTTGGGAAACTAGTTTTTGCATGCAATTTAATGATGTTACCTAGTCGGTGAAGTTTTCATCTTTAATATGATTAAATCTTTGGGACTTCAAGTTGACAATTGATGCACACCTACTTGCATGCATACCTGCTTTTTAGAGAACATGAAAACCTACTTGCAGTGTTACTGTACATCTCTTCTGCAATTGCTATTCCATGTCACAAGTGCACATTTTTTTTCTTATAGTTATTCAATGAGGGGCATTTTGAGATGGCTACAATGTGTTTCGAAAAGGCTAATGATGCATACAGAGAGAAGTGGGCAAGAGCTGCCGGACTTGTATCAACTGCAGACAGTGTCATGCCTAAGAATTTGGAGCTGGGCCAGGCTTCATTGCAAAAAGCGGCAGAGATTTATGAATCCATTGGCATGCATGAGAAAGCTGCCAGTTGCTATATCAAGTTAAACGACTACAAAAGAGCAGGTATGTGGACTCCATAATTTTTGAGTAGTATCGATACTTCTATAGTGCCGTCATTCCTTAACATTGAAAAATGGCAAATTGCTCCCAAGAGAGTAACCTAAGAAGTGGAGATCTTCAGATTTTAAAACTTCACTTCGCCTGATCGAGATGATCAAGGCTGAAGCTTCCATATGGTTTCAAGATGGAGTTATATGGCTAAAAGTCTCGCTGCCGCACCTGCATTTCTTTAGTGTACTGTTGAAATTCATGCTAGATTTCATCTTTCTATGGATAGTCATTACTTCACGTTCCATCCAACTGTATCTGACCAGACATTGTTTCCTTGCATTGCCATAGGAATGATGTATATGCAAAATTGCAGCACTTCCAGGCTTGAGGATGCTGGTGACTGTTTTGCTATGACTGAATGTTGGTCAGAAGCAGCCGAAGTATACTTCAAAGCTAAATGTTATACCAAATGTTTCTCCATGTGCTCGAAAGGAAAACTTTTCAGTTTAGGGCTCCAGTTCCTACAGCAGTTGTGGGAGGAAGCTTCAGTCGATGAGTCGAACATTGGTCTACTATACTCGCCAGCTGCATATGGTCTGATTTTTGAATCCCTTGATGCACATCTCAGGCCGTCAAATAAGAAACTGACACATGGGCATCTTGGGAGAATGGCCATACTTCTGCTACACGTAGTACCTTGGGGTGCCATGCTGACTTCAAGACTTATGCAGTGCCTGGACAGAGAATCTGAGTGGGCATTTTTTTTGCAATCTTTGGATATATTTGTTCACCACAGTCGTTATGATTTTTTCGAACACGTAGAAAGTCAACACCCTAGTGGTCTTCATGGCAGATATTCCTTGCTCCTGAACTTAAAGCTTGCTCTTGAGTCCACCTTCAAGTTTACCTTGAATGCAAACTGGAGAGCCGAACCGGATTACATATCCCCAGTGTGCTGTGTGGATCTCATAGAGTGTCTTGGTTATTTTGCTTCATCATGTTTTGTACTTCATGGTTGCATGTTCTCCACAGAATCTATTTTTTCCAAGATGGTAATGCGCAAAAACTGCAGCCTTTACTTTCAGAGTTGTTTGATGTCTACGCCAGATCGAGAACTGGAGAAAATGTCAATATCAGCAGGGCGTTTCATATTTGAGTCGGTCAGGAGTCTCTTGACAAAGAAATATATGATCCAAGAGTGGGTCCAGAAGACTTCAAGTACTTCACACATTCCAGTCCTTCTGAGATTAGTCGTCACACTTTATCTTGTGCCTTTAAATCTTAAAGTGGGGGATTGCTACGAGGCCACCCGTTTCCTTCAGATGCACAGAGTTTTCGAGGATCTGCCTTTGGAATTCTCGCAGAAGATTCTAGGTGCTTTGCAAATAAGGTCTCCGAAACTTGGAAAATTCAGAAGGTTGTTTGCTGATGCGCTTGAAGTAATTGGAGAACGCATGCTAGTCGCAGGTTCACCCAGAGCCCAGGCGACGTGTCGAGGCTTGAATGCTATCGTAATTAGCAGTTGGGACTGCATGATTAATCAAGTTGCTCGGACGGCAAATTCGCTTTTTCGTGATGAAAGTATAGAGAATAATTTTCTTGGAAAGGAACAGAGGAAAGGTCTGCTGCCACGTGAAAGGAACCGTGGTAACAAAATCGGGGATGCTGAATTTTGGGAGAAGTTTGAGGCGTTTCAAGCCAACAAGCAAGGCCAGGTGAGTACTTAAGGTGTAAGATTTCTTTTTTCTTGTCTGATAATTCACCACTAGCAGTTTTTCTATATATACTTAAGAAATCAATTTATATATGCAGAATGATGCAAGGGCTATTGTTGTATTCCTTAGAAGTGTCCTCTCCTGGCTGACGCAAAGAGGACCCCCAACAAAGATAGATGTGGATTTGTTATTGGAGGTCAGGCAAGTCTGCAACGACTTCGACAAACAGTCTGATGATAGGTACGCACATGTATTAGAATGTCGGCACTTCATAGATAAACACAATAATTATTCCAGTTGATAGTACAGCAAGTCTTACAGCTTGGCAGTATTTTCTGCAAATTGTTATTCTTCCCATCTGAACTGTTTTTGGCACTCACAGTGCCGAGAAGAGAGCTTGTGTGACTGCCAAGGACCTCTATTCGACCTGGAAGGATGGCGGGAAGAAGCTGAAGAAGATTATCAGCGTTCTGCGTTCTGAAAAAGCGTCCATGGAAGAAGAGAGAAGGAACGCAGCTGCTGCGGAGGTTGTCCAACCGCAGACTGACGGACGTTCCGACAGCGAACCGGTGACAGGAGCAGCCGAGGTAGATGTGCCCGAGGCCAGAGGCCCGTCGACCCCAGAAAACGTAGAGGCGCACAAGCAGAAAAGCAAGAAGAAATCGAAGAAATGTAGGCGCCATGCCCCGCCGTAGGCTGTCGTGGCATGTATGTTGCCGGTGCGTGCTTTAGTTAGTTTCTCTTTTGCGTACTCTTCTCTGTAAAACCAACACCGATGGTTGGGTTGCAGTGTTGCGGTGTCCATGTCACTTACTGATGGTTGGGGACTTGGGGTGCGCTTTTCACTCTTAGAATTGAAGCACCACTCATCTAGGGATAGACTGAACGCATGTCTAGTTTCTACGCGAAGAAAGATTTGATCTTACTGTCATGCGCGGGTGCAGATGGGCTCAGAATAGCTGCTCTCCTCCTCTAGCTTTCAAAACAAAGACGTGTACGTCTCGAAGTTTTTACCATGTACGCTGGGCCTCTGTCGACTGAAATCAACACATGTTTTTGGCCGTAGCAAACGTAGGCGCAAACCACAAAACCTCTTGTATTCTGCATGTTCCCTAACGATGTAGCCAAGCCGTGTATCGTGTGGATGACTTGTACCAAGACCAATTCTTGGCTGGGTCATAGATTGTGCTCCTCGTGTTATCCACCCTTCATGGCCCCCATCCGCTATGATGCGGGACGCCTTGGAAACGATCTTTCACGGTGCCAAAGAAATCACAAAGAGCAGCAATAAACTCACTCGATACTTGTTTCAACAAACTTTGTTTCTCTTAAGTGGCAAGAACAAGAGGAAACACACTCAGATAAATTGCAGCGGATAACTAACTGAGTTTACAAGGATGCAACCCAAACCATGAAGCTTGTGAATCTATGAAGAATCACAAGAGGGAACCACAAGGATCCTATATGAATTGAGGATAGGCCCTCCAATCCACACACATGAGCTAACACTCAACGATACTAGTGCTCACAGCACAACACAACCTCACTGGTTGTCTACAAACATAAACTAAGAAATCTCATCCCCCCCTCACATGGAACAGCTGGGGGGTATTTATACTAGAAGCACCCACTAGTTAGGTGTGAAAACAACTCAAAAAGAAGGGTAAATTCGTGAGCCCCAAGCTGTAGCACGAGCAAACTTGTTGAGCCTCGCGCTGTAATAAATTCCTGGACAGCTTGCACGGAAACTTGCACAACTTTTGACTCAAGACCTCAAATGATGCACAGTTTTTTTGAAAGAAAGCTGACTTCTAAGACCATCTCTTCCAGCCTCTATAAAGTGCTAGAGACTTCCAGAATTAATTAGGTTTAGGTGGGAAGTTGCTGCTGGAAATCTGATGTGTCATTTCTCCTAAAATAGGCATCGGAAGCTTCCCAACAAAGATAATGGTTTTGCCCTTGTCTTCCTTTGGATGCTCTAATGGTTCAACATTTGTGCTAGCATTAACCTCACTCTTGGATGCCTTGGTCATGATCTGGTCCACATCGTCCTCCCTTCCTTCAAACAAAACCGTCCTCGGTTTTGAGGTATTCTTTTTTGGCTTCTTCACTTGTGGGAATTGCTCAACCTTGAGTACTTGATCCACCATAGGTTCCAAGACATGGTTCACTCCTTGATGCATGAAAGAATACTTGTTAGACCTCCCATGGTGAGTAGCATCATGATCAAACTGCTACGGTCTTCCCAAAAGAAGATGACAAGCTCGCATTGGCACCACATCACATACCACTTTGTCCACATAACTTCCCACTGAAAATTGCACCCTCGCACGATGCGTAATCTTCAGCTTACCAACACCATTCAGCCACTTCACATAATATGGCTGGGGCTGCCTCCATGTTGACATCCCAAGAGCATGCACAAGATCACTACTAATGATGTTGTTGTAGCTGCCTCCATCGATGACCACCTTGCAGTTTTTGTCCTTGATCTTGCAAATGGATTGGAACACATTTTGTCGCTGGCCCTTCTCCATAATAGGAGCATCATCATGAGCCACTTTGCGAACCATGAGATTAACACCATCTCCTCCATCTGAACTCAGAGGTGCTTCGGTCTCAAAAGTACAATAATTTGCATCTTTCTTCTCAGATTCAGATTTGTCACTTGAGTCATCGGTGACATATCCATCATTTGTGAGTAAAACCTTCTTCAGATTAGGACAATCCTTCTTGAAGTGACCTCTACCCTTGCATGTATGGCACTGAATATTACTACTGTGAGTGGCAGGAGTATTGGAAGATTCAACCTTTGATGCATTAGCTTCCTTTGTAGTCATCTTGTTGTGTGAGCGAAAATCTGCAGCGACACTTCCATCTACTTC